AAGATGCAAAAATATTTGCAGTTATAATTCATTATTTTAATCACAAAACTATTGGAATTGAACATAAACTTGTCCAGATGACATCAGTCTCAAACGAAAAAGCAGCTATCATTAAGGACTTGTTAACAAATACACTGAGAAAAATTAATAGTTCACAGAAATGTGTTGCTTTTTGTGGACATGTTGGAAAAAATAATGTGTTTGCATTGCTAAGACAAGACTTTACGCATTTAGAAGGTAGCGGATGTACAGTGCATATTGTAAATAATTGTATTCAACATGCTGTAGATTCTTTATCCATTGATATTGAGAGCATTCTTGTAAAGATTTTAAACACGTCTCTATACTGTTCGGGCTGAAAAGTTAAAGAAGTTTGTTCTTTTGTCGAAGTTGAATATAAGCAAATTCTTAGTCATTCCAAGACCCGTTGGTTATCCTTATATCCAGTAATCGCACGAGTAATAGAGTGTATGAGCCACTAAAAAGTTATTTCTTATCTACTGAGAAGCCTCCAGTTGTGCTTAAATCATTCTTTGAAAACCCATTAAATGAAGCATGTCTAACGTTTGTACATTCATTAGCCTACAGTTTTCACCAAAGTTTTTTAAAAATGGAAAAAGAATCTAATTGTATTATAGAAACAAAGTCTATTTTGGAAGAAGTTTCTGATATTTTAAAAGTTAGGTTAGAAACAAGTTTTCTGCCATTGACAGTGAATAAAATTCTGAAGAAAAATGCAGAATTGGAGAAAGAATGCGAAAATGTAAAAAGAAATTACTTGATTATGTATCAAACTGGACTGGAATACTTAAATCATTGGACTGTTCAGTCTTTGCCATTCAAAGTTTTTAATTGGATGTCACTTACAAAAATCCTTGTCTGGGAGGATGTTATGAAATGTATTGAATATCTAAATAAAAGGAATATTGCAGTTGACGATTCAAAGTGCATAAATCAGTATAGTTCTTTGAAAAATCATTTAAAAGAAAATTCTAGTTTAAATGAAAAATCAGTAAGTGAAAAATGGCTTGATTTTTTTCAGGCAACAAATAATCCAGAATTACATTCTGAAATGCTTAAAATTGCACAATTAAATACGTGTTTCATTGGCATTCGTATTTGTAAAGGTTCAGTAAAAATTACGTTTTTTTACAAAAATTTGTGTTCTCCTGTGTGTCCTACTTTTTGATTTTTTCCTACAAGAGTTGTCCTAGTTTCGCATCTGGTTATTTGGTAACCCTACACAAAACAAATAACCGTTTATTCGATATAGTATATATATTCTCTCATTAGCGAGTAAACAGAATCTTGACACGAGTCGCCACGATCGCACGTTGAGATAACTACCTGATGGATTATCCCGTTGAAATGTTCTACGAAAGTTCGTCTTCGATAGTGGGTTGAAGGCTCAGTTCGATGATTGGAACAGTTCGGAAATAGGTGATATCTTGGGACGGAGACTTGGCAATATCCGTTACTGTAGTAGGTTATATCTTCGTATGGAAAATAAGTAAGATACCCGTTAATGGGATATAGGAGATCCTGAACTGCCTAACACGTTTGAGGACTGCCCGAGTCGGCAGTTCGTTGTTATATTAGAAGAGTAGAATACGACAGGAAGTAAAAAGATCGTGGGAAAGCGTCAATTTCGACTTGAGAACATGTAAGAAAAATCTCTCTCAACTACGAAAGTTAACGCATATCCGCTGCCAATAGTCCTCTGGAAGTGGGCTCTTTCAATATTTTGAATAAAATTCCGTTTATTTAGTCCGGATCTCACTAAATGCTAGCAAACTAACGTACATTACATAAGCTTAACTGAAACAATGATAAATTCTCTATTTTATCCGATAAAGAATTACACAAAAACGATTTGCGCAATTCTTTATCGAAATTTACTTTCACAATGCTAAATTAACATTAAACCCATTAGTTTCTGCTATAATTTTTCCAACTTGATGCTCACTCCTTTGATGTTTATCATCTAAAATTGTAAGATGTTATTGGAGAAAATTTTTATAGACTTAACTAATAAATGTGTATTTAATGTTGCATGTTTTAACTGTTTAAGTTTTAATTTCCTTGGGATATGTGACTTTGAATGCATCGTATTCATTAGTAATTCAGTCACTTACAAAGAAAGGATACTGTTCGGAACAAAGATAGCACAACCAAACCTGATTTATCTGAAAGACCTTAAATAGATATGTAGATATGTAAATATACTTAAGCATTTTTATTATCGATTTGGATATAATATGCATAATTTGAACATATTTATGTTTGAATTCGTATATTATGCAAAATGTAGAGGAAATATTCGGTTGATTTTTAGTTTATTTAACAAATTATTTTAATTTTCTTAAAATAATAATTATGAAATAATTAATATTGTTAAATGAAAGTTAAAGTTTTGTGTATATTAAAATCTTGTGTGAGGTTTACCGACTGGGTGAGTCTATCAGAATCGTCGCGCGGTTACGACTATTGTGTGGGAGTGGCAATAACTCTCTGAGACAAGCTTGCATCTTTTAACCCGTTTATTATATACACAAAAGTTTCTTACACCGTTTTGCAAAAATGCGACGTAACACAGCTCGGGGAGCTAATGAAATGTCCACTCAAGAGTTCGACGTTCGGTTGGAAGTTCTCCTTTCGATCCCTACGTTGCGATCGACGACTCCACAGCGTGCAGCACAGCTTCGGACGAAAGTCTATGGAGAAGGGGGAAACTGGGCAAAGCAAGACGTCACGGGAGAGCGACGGTAAGTCCCAGGAGTCAACAAATCTGTCGCTGCTGATTTGCAGGATCGAAAAATCCTGAAGTGGAGCACCAAGAACCAAGAAGCTCACGTCCTTGAATCGTGCGTAGTTGTCAGTTTTTCACCCAAAGTCGCCTTTCCATTGGTCTCTCAGCGTCACCTGGTGACAATTCGAAACCTGTTGGAGGGCGCGGGAGAGGTCAACGTCGCGACTAAACCCGACTCCTTTTTAACCACGTTTCCTCCGACTTTGGTCTTTTCAATACCATTCTTCCTTTGTTTTGATATTTTACAAAAATCTTTTATTGTTTAATCGAGACCTTTAATTTTTTCCTTTCGTATTGTAAAAGGAGATTTTTAAGATCTTGTTAATTAATACCCCTTCGGACGTCCAAGTCGACCCCCAACCAGGTCCTTACACTTGCATGATAACAGTAAAAATACAAACAATTGAAGTATAATACAGTAAAATGAAGTGTCTTTAATAATCAATATAAGTAGTTGTTTTAAAAGCATGTATAGTTGTCTGGATAATGTAATTAAATTATTAAACATAACCTTTCCGTAGTTTATCAGTTGCATCATTCTAATTCTAAAATTTTGTGAGTTTATGTTTAAAGCCAACTATTTGATATATCTCTAATTATAGTTCGTGTACAAATGTCGCAAATGTACACAAATATTAGCAGAGTTTTCAACATTTCTCATGCCCAGAGTTGTGTAAAAACTGATATAGATTAAATATAACAAGGCGATTAATTCATTCTACTTAATTCGAATAAAATTTGTATCAGCATCTATTATTTATGGTTTCTCTTAGAGATGCCTGTTTTAATTTTCTCTGTACAGTACTTATCCTTTATACGTAAAATATGTAAGAGAAATTATTATTAAATCTAAACATTGAATTTTTAAAGGTATATTTGAATTATCTGTTATCAAATCTGATTACTTTGCAAATGACATTTATTTTGATAAATTAAATACTGCATATCCATAATAACAGAATGGATGCGTAATGTAAGAAGACAATTTGTTGAACAAAATTTGTTATTTTCACGCGATAATATTTACACTACTGATTTTCAAAAGACTCAATATCGAGGGCGGAAGTTATTAACATTTTTCTGTTATTCATGCCACGTGCGGCCATATTCATGATGGACCCTATTGAATGGCACTCAGACATTACTAAATGGATTTACAAATGATTACATTAGATTTCTCCGATATAACGGAGTAAAATGCCACATAATTAATTAGTTATATCGCTATACAGCATCGTTTTTGATCTATTATTATGCAATTTTCTCGTTAATTGTAGTAAAATGATGTATAAAATGATAAATAAACTTTTCATTAATTATCGTTTTCCTCTTTTGTTTGAGGAATGAATACATAATTTTTTATCTTAATAAATTTTTCGGGCAATATCAGAAATTTTAATGTAAAATTTAATGAATCTGTATTAAAATCTCTTAAGCTTGATCTATTGTTTATTGCATAAAATTATATATAATTATAGACTATTGTATTTAATTGAATCATCTATTTTTACTTATTTTCTTTTGTAGTCAGTATACTTAGAGGCAACTTTGAATATTTCTAAATAGCCGTAGTAGTCATTAACAACAGTATAAAGAATTTGTGTATATAACCTACATCTATAACATTCGTTTGTTTATGTTTAATGAATATTTTCTTATTGTTTCCACATTAAACACTTGTTGGATAACAGTATTTTGAGTAGAAGAACAAGCTGATTTGGCAGTTTTTAAATTCAGACTGAGGTATTTTCGGTAATTTTAATTTTATTTTTTTTAAAAAAATTTATTTTTTTCGTGAAATAATATAGATTAAGTATGAAATTTCTTCGGTTTTTGAATTGTTTCTTTATTTTTCAGATTTAATGAAATTATAAATATATACACAAATATATAGCTTATAAGGTCTTCAAGAACTGAAAATTTACACAGTATTTATGTATGTAAGATCTTTATACAGGTCTACAAATATACATTTACATGTGAAGTATAGAATATAGGTATATGTGTATATATTTTTTAAATTTACATTATCGTAAGAATAATAGAAATAAATATATACATTATCTATATACTATAAATAGAGTTTTATTTTTTAATTGTGTCAGTGAATATATTTTTATATTTAGATATTTTCATTAAATTTTAACTAATTTGTATTATTCACCTCAATTTTTTTCAGAAAAATTATATTTAGCATGACTCTATTGCGTGAATAACTGAACACTGCAATAATAGTAGGTACAGGAAATTGCCCAATTATGTTTCCAATATACAATATCTGTTTCAGTGAGATAAAAAAATGTATACACTTTGATTAAATATGACATAATTACATAAAATTTAAGGAGATTATTCATAGGTATGTATAAAAAAGTATTTCTGTCTAATTCTCTAATGTTATATAAGTATAAATCTTTATAATAATACCAGTTTGGTTGCGACACGTAGGCAGCCTACAGAGGAGGGGTGCCTCCCGGACGACTTCTGTAGGAAATTGGCCTCTATTTACGTGTTACAAACGTGAAGAACACCAGGAAAGCTGCACGTGGCCAGCCGTCGGCAAGGCCCGAACTCACGACAATTACCAGTATTCAGTTGTTTTATCTAATTGGCCAGTGGTGGGCTCCACTAATACCAGAATATACGTAAATTCATGCAAATATAAAGTTGTATAGGTCTGTTTGAGCTTTAACACACAAGTCCAATAATGTATCTTCAAGATATGTATATAGAATGTATGAAATATATTTCCACAATTCACTAAACCCTAGTAAAAATGTTCATTTTCTGTAATTTAAAAAAATTGTACACCTATAAATTCCCACTGTCATCCGTCCGCCTGTCTTTCCTTAATCTCGAGAACGGTGTTAGATAGATGAAAGACGAGACCAGATATGGAAATCTTAGGGGCAGGAACTTCTGATGCAAACCGAAAATCATGTTATTTCAATTCAAAACTTTTCCCTGAAAGCAGTTAATAGATGACCGGTATGACTCTATTGTTAAAAGGAGCAGTGTGATTACAGGGGTAAGGCACTACAATACTAATTTGAGGCGGAGAGCATATACTTTAAATTAAATAAATTAAAAATATGATTAAAAATTGCAGTCCGTTTTTGTTATATTTCTTGTTATAAGTTAATGTATTATATGAATATAATGGTTGTAAATTAAACATATATGCGTAAAATGCAATTAGCCTGTGAATACAAACACAGTATTAAGTTACAGACTTGATAACTACAAACATATTTAAATATTGTAAATGATCAGTAGTTGTGAAAAATGTATAATTAATTTAAATAGCAAACATAAAATGAGAATTGCTACGTCAAATCTGTCGTAGAAGTATTGAAACGAAAAGTTTTGTTTGCTATTTTATGCTAAGTAAGATAATTATAGAACATTTTTATTTTGTAAGAAAAATGCCAGTCAAGTTCCATTACTTACCAATAAAAAAAATTCTTTCGATTATAAAAATTTGGGGTAATTTTATCATGACAAATTCTTTCAAATTTATTGCTTTATACCGGTATTCCTGTTTATTTGTCCCCACATCAAATTACATTACTTTCCCTCTGTTAGAAAACCGATTATATATTCTTTACAGGAATAACATCCTTTTTTGTAAAATAGAAGTTTAATTATAATAAATAAAAAGTTAATCATTGTGTTTTCCGCAACAGGAATGGTATGGACAGAGGAGGTTAATGCATCGTTCTAGTGGATCCGGAATCGAATCCGAGCGCCCAAAATAACCTCAGGAATTTTTTGGGGGTAGTCTATCCCGGATATATTGGGCCCCCTTCCTCACCACCGGCCATCTCATTGTGGGCCTTGTCTAACTCATAATAGACCTTGAAAAAGGCCCTTTTTGTGCTCACGGGGCGGAAAAGAATTTAAAAAACAACAAGAATGGTTTAACAATTACAGTAAATCTACAATAATTAGAAATTCATTAGGATAGAAGAAACATTCTGAAATATTATAACATACATATGCAATTTATTGCATTAGGAATAACACAATTAAAAATTCTTAATCTTTAATTCTGTATTCGTCTTGGATGTTTTATTAATAAATTTATATTATATTTTGCTTAAGACCTGTAATGATATCTTAGTTACTTAAAATTTTATTTAAATTTAGCATTTGTTTACTATAGTAAATTGATTTTTAAATCGAATAAAAATAGAAATATTCAAAGTGTATAGCAAAACCATAAATTTTGTTCTGTACATTTGAATTGAATTATAATTTTAAATATAAATTTAAAAAAATATATTATCAATTTTGTAGACAAAAAATTTTCCAATTTAAATAATTTGGCTGCTTTTTTAGAAACTTTTCCTTCATAAAACCCAGTTAGATTATTGATAGCAGTTCAAATTCTGTGAGGAATAACGGATATGTTGATCAAATCCATGCTCCTAAATAATAAATTACAAATAACAATATAAAGTAAATGCTATATTTCGTGTACAACACGCATCTTAATTTATATTATAATATAAATGTTAACATTAACAGATGAAAAATTTTGCTGTTGATAAAGAGTAGACCCACTCGTTCTTGCTAAATTTCCTATTATGAGTTAAGTATTTTTAGAGGTCATTTCGGTATGGTATAGTATACTTCATTATCCAGGAACAGAACCGTAATTTATGATATTGAGTCAATGGGAAATTAGAATTCGATTTACGACGGCTCGTTTAACGACGGCTGTTAAAGCAGAGGTTTATTATATCTACATATTTTTAATGCGATGTTATTTTGAATGGAACTAATATAATCTGATTTCCCTCGTGTATTATAATCATAGATTTATCATTATTAAACTGTTTTGATGATAAATCAGGTTAAAAGATTTTAAACAGATGGCTTAAATTTTTATGTGAAACATTGTTTCTATAACAACATAACAAAATATTTTTATATTTATTTATAAAAATTTGTAAATACTGAGAGGTTAATCTGTTTTATTTTAATTTTCTAGTGTTCTTATACAGTTCTGTATCTCTTACAATATTAATTATACATTTTAACAAGCACCTGCCTGTAGTTAAAGCTGTTGTCAATATATTTTAATATAATAAATGCTCACTGTAGCATAAATATTTTATAATTTAGTAAATAATTATTATTAATATTACAAGGATTTATACACGTTTAAATGACTGTATATTGTTTCTTCTTACACAGCAATTCTGTCACATTAATGTCTAAATTCTATATTATTTCAATGAATTATATTGAGTAAATTCACTATTTAAACGTATAAATATTTAAAACAATCTCATTTAATAATATTTATCATTGCAGACGTGCTTAATTAAACGTCTGTAATAAGTCCTCTTAGTAGTAGAGACGTCCGCCAGGGGTGGGAGTGTCGCTCGCCGCAACAACAGACAGCATCTGCTGCTGCCTGCTAAAGGGAAACCAGTCTGGAACAATCGTAGAGAGAAGTCGATACGCTGGAAAGCAAGTACCATTTAAAAATTATACAGTAGATGAAGGATTTTATACTCGAAACATGAATAAATCATACAGTTTATCGTCTTTGATAATATTTGTTATAGCTAGTGCAGGTAAATATGATTTTTTTTATATGTGTTTATATATATATATATATTTGTTACGTTTGTTTCTTAGTAGTCCGATCGATATTTTAATCCGAAACCATAAATTAATGATTTTATTAATTTTCCCCCCTCTAATAATACACATCAGCACATGTATACTTTATGTATATCTTTGCTTTATAATTCTAATTTTACTAGTATTAAAACTTATTATGTGGAACGAGATAATTGTCTTAATGTTTAAGAATATTTAAACCAGTAATAATTATTTAATTTTGTTTTATATTATTCATTTTGTATTAAATTATATATTTCCTTTTTCTGACTTGTTGTATTATATATTCTTAAATGAGTGTGTGTGTATATTTTTGTAATGGTGGTAATTTTTAAGGAGGTTATTTTTATTTTAAAGGTTTATCTGTGCTTTAAAATTTGGGGGAAAATATGTTTATTGAACGATTTTGTATAAAAATTTCAACTAAATGGGTGGATTATCTGTATTGCCTTTTTTTCTAGTCCAGCTGACGTCATCTGCTGCAAAAATTACATAGAAAAATGATTAATTTTAACGTCTTCCTTGCAATGCAAATTAATTTATTTAAATTATGGGATTTTTAGATCCGATCTGACTGCGTAAACTTATCCTTCATCTAGATTAATGAGGTCTTTCATTTTAAATTTTTCTGATTTTTCATACAACATATTTTACATCCCTGCTCTTAAGTTAGCTTACATAATTTGCAAGCAATTAGTTTTTTTAGCTTTTTAATAATTTTAAATATAGATTATGATATATTAATTCGATTTAACTCGTTTAATTACGCAAATTGACCGTGTAGTTTAAAATATATGAATATAACTTAAAACTGAAGCATTAATGAAATTTTTCACTTCTGTCTTTGGGTTTGTCTCTGCATGTGTTTCACTAGACTCTCTACTGTTAGTTCCCTCCTGCATGCTAACACGATCATTAATTTCTAACCCCTGGTAGATCTGGTGCATGCATGATTTCTGTCAAGGAAGAAAAAAAATTGGGTTTACATGATAATCTCCCCCATCTTTCCCAATGGATGCTCTTATACTTAAATTATTCTATAGAAAATTCACAACAAATCACAGAATACAATGGAATACAGAATACAATTATTCCATGCTATATTTTTTTTATCCAATTTTGATACATCAATCACTACAAAAACCATTATAAAGATAAACTTTTAAGTTACATTAACGAAGAGTAATTTTCACGCCATTTTGAATTAGTAATTATTATAATTTATAAACCAAGAGCAAATATGGCTACAAGAAAAAATTTAGATTAGATATTATTTAATAAATTGATATTATTTAAACGAGGAAGTCAAACAAGGAAACAGAAAGCTTAAATTATATAAGAATGAAGTTAAAATTTACTTTAAATAGATTTTTTACTCTATTGTTTTTATCCATCTTTAAAATTTATCACTGAAGGTTGTGTTGGATTTTATGAATCAGAACACTTAAACAATATTGTTCGCATTTCCCTTCTGTCATCGACAGACGGGTGTGGCATACAGGCTAATTAATTGCCTGAATCATTCTCTAAGTCCTATATTTTTTATTATTTTTTTTAAACAAGAAATATACCATCTCCTCTTCAACATCACAAATAATGCGGATCAACAGAGAAGTACTGTGCAGTACGTTGACCTTCTATTTAATATTCAAATGATAAGAATTGTTTTGAAGTTCTGAATTTCTTTATCTTGGATCTCATTACCTTGCATAATTAAACGTTTTGTGAGAAATCCTTATGCAATATTTTGCTCGAATACACATATTTATTTACCAATGTGGTATTTTATTCTTATAAATTAAGGAAAGAAAATGTTTGGAATGGGATATTTTCAGTTAATGCGATCCAAAACGTAGAATTGATATAGAGAAATATTAATGAAATATTAACTGATGAGGTTGTAGCTTCGTTTAAGTACTCAATGTCGGGTGTACGAGTCGGTTAACCATTTAAATGCCTATTTCCTTTTTTACTGCACTTATTCAGGATAGAATTATTGTTTACGTAATCTCCTACGTATACATCTTAACCGACAATAATTGAGTAATCTTCAATCGATAAAAACGTCACTTTTACAAACCGTACGAGAAATTGTTAATAGTAGTTCGGTATATTCCATAGAAAAGCATTATTGTTAGGCAATTTTAAATTTTTTTACACGGTAAGAAATTCTAAAAATACATTAGAAATATTAAACAATATTTTTTATCGCTCTCTTTGTAGTGTTTCTTTGTCTTCCCGTCACGTGTATCAAGGTTAAATTGTTATTGTATCTTAGCTTGGTCTAATTTTCAATAACTCTTGCGATGTCAGCTTTAATAAGAAAATTGCAGCATAGTTCTAATGTATCAAAAGATTTTTCTGCTGTAAACACTAACCGTTCTTTTGGTGTTCGCTTATTGGATAATCGCTTCTTGTTCAAGATTATCGAAATTTTGTACTTCTTATTGCTGCATAAGTTATTAAAATGATTGTATTCATTTAAAAATATATATATAAAGTCGAAAAAATTAAACTGGAATATGTACTTTCAACCGTTTATTAATAAAATATTTAATAAGTTAACAGTTTCTTATATTATTCTTATATTTAGAGAGGAAAAAAAGACATTAAATGTTATTTTTTCACAGTGACAAACGTTAGTTAGTAAAATGTAGAATGACCTTGCATTTATTAATTCTTTTGGCCTACCAACTCTTCTTTACTTTATCTATTTTTGCTTTATATCATTTAAATTATTGAATAAACCTTTTCATTTTTCATAGATTGAAAATATAATCCTTTACTTCCTCCAGGATGTCAAATCAGAGATAAATTTTTATTTAGATCGATATCTCTATAGATGTATATTTTAACTACCACAACTCGTATTAAAGTAAATTAAATAATAATATTTTAATAAATAAATAAAATATTTTACTCTATCTAAATTACTAACTTAATATTTTAACTGTAAATTAATTACTGTAAAATTAATTTTTTATACTGTCATTATATTGATTTTATGTTGATTAAGGTGGGGTTTAATATATTTAGATAATTTTTATGTTATTTAAATCGAAAATTATATTTATAAATCCTGAAGTTTGCTGGAGAAGTTTAGAATTTCATCTTTTTTTTCACTTTAGTAGAAATTTTATCAAATCATTAATATTATTATAACTAGAATTTTTTATATTTGTAGGACACCAGTACATAATTTATATGCTATATATATATAATAATTATCATTTATTTTTGGAAATAATTTAAAAATTAACGAATATTCTAGTGAAAACATATTTGCCAAATTCTCGAAATACTTCAATAATTCGACTATCGAAAAACAAAGGATTTAGTTGATAAACTGAATAAATATTTTCTTCATATTTAAACATTTAGCAATTGTCTTGAATAATTGCTAAATATAGGAAGAGTTGTTAAAAGTTGTGATTATAAGCTTACAGGAAATTCTTTAAACTTAGTCAATTATAACTATCTCTGTACTAATTTGCATTAATTAGGTAGAAAATGCAATTTCATAAGTTCGAAAACTGTAATGACAGTTTTGAAATTGCAAGAATTTCTTGTGGTTTTTATTTAAATAATAATTAAGTTATACGTAATTAAAGTACTTTATTAAACATACAAACCAAAATTTTTAAAATATTGGAAGGACAGATTGATTTATAAATTTCCTACTTACTGTGCATACGTTGTTGACTTAAACTTTCTTATAAAGTTTTAACGTGTATTCTATCCTGTTTGCTAATTAATATCATTAAAATTATACGCTAAAACAACTATTAAAGTATCTATTTATCATTTCCAAATAAATAATAATAATGATTAATTGAAACGTAAATGACTCCACATAAATGATTAAAATCTCTATTTTAGTCTATTAAAAACTGACATTTTAGATTTTTAAAGTTAAATGATACTAAAAGGAAATTTAATAAAACGAAATATCATTTTAACAGCTTAAGAATTAAGTAGTAATATCCTTGATCATTCTCTTAATGTTCGAAAAATAAAAGCATTAGATCAGCATAATTTTTAAAATTTCTGCTATTCAGTTAGTGTTATATTTAGTACGTATAATATAATGTAGTGTTATCCATTCGTTTCCAACATTTGTAGCTTAAAATTACCCATTTTGATCGTTTTCATAGAATTGTTCAGAAAAACCAAATTAAAGATCGATATGAGAGGATGAGTCATGCACTGTTAATGTGCAGCGTACAGCTATCGATGCCTACAATCTGTTTATTATACAATCGCTATAAGTAATATTTTACAACGTTATTCGAAACATTACTTAACCCTGCCTTAATTTTGATCCATGCCACTTATACAATTAATTTTGTAAATTGTTTATTTTAGAAAACTTTTGAGCTTTGTAAAAACTTAATTAATCAAACGAGAAATAATTTTTCGAAATTTTTATTAGATATTTTTAATGTTAAATGTACTAAATTTAACCATTTAATGCTAATTAATTTATTTTAATAATTCTATTTTTTTATTTCATTTACTTAACATTAATTTTTAATAACTGAAAATAGATTTAAAAGGTTTTTATTCAGGAAGTTTTTTTCATTATTTTATTTTTTATTTAGTAAATAAATCAAATTTATTTATTTATATGTATAATTTGAATTTAAATCCTTTAAATAATTTTCTTTTAAAAAATTCTTTAAAAAAATTTCAAACTAAATTTTTACAATTTAGTTTGAAATAAAAATTACTTTAATGAAACATTAAAATTTCTTTCTATAAATATTAAAATATTTATTTTTAAATTTAACAGTTATAAACTTTTTTTTGGTTTAAAATCTTTATATATTTTAGTTAAAATTGTTAAAACACTCTTTAATTTTTTAAAATTAATTATTAATGACTAGAATAAATAAAAGTTCAGTTTTTTTAATATAAAAATTGAAAAAAATTAGCTTTGATATTATCTATACTTTAATTTATTAGTCAAGCTTAACTAGAAGTTATCTTTAATTACAATGTCATGCTTTCAGGTGTCCACTGTTTGAAGTTAATTAATTTTTCTGTTCCTGCTTGGGTGAGGAAAGGCGAAGGAGTCTGGTTAAACTGTTCTGTAGATTCTCAGGAGGGTTTATATTCAACTAAATGGTACAAAAATGATGTAGAAGTTTACCGTTATGTACCGAAAGATACCATCGAAGATCAGATATATGATGCTTCAGGAGTATATATTGATGTAAGTTGTTTCTAAATTTAAACAATTTTAGCAAGACAAAGCGTATTTATATTTTTAGAAAATGTGTCAGGGTAACGATTATAAGATATCAACACGAGTTATTTTCTTATTATTTAATAAAACTTATCATTTTTTTAAAAAAATATTTAAAATTGTCTTTAATAAATTTGTTTATTTTATAATATGTAGATTATATGAGTGAAAATATGTTATTATTTTTTGTTTTAATTAGTTAGCCGTTTCTGCTAAAGGTCAAGTTTATCTAAATTATACAAATCTGGATACAGAAGGGTCCTATCGTTGCGAAGCGTCAGGAGATACCCCTTATTTTGTAACAGTGGGTGAAGTTAAAGTTATGAAAATATACGGTGAGTTTTATTATAGAATGAGTCATTCTAAACGGTAAAATTTGTAGCAGCTGCACTTTTTATGATGACTGTTTTATACCTGTGCAAAACTAGAGTATATTTCTTCCAATATCAATTTATATTTTTAAGTATTTAAATAAATACTTTAACAGTAACTTACTTAGATCTACAGTACAGTACTTAACTTACTTAACAGTAACTTACAATTTTTTAATATTGTTAATGTCTCTATAAAAACATTAGGGTGTTTTTTTAAAGGTTAGAATACTTTTCTAATCACAAGATTGAAATACTTGAAAAACTTTTCAGAGTTGTATTGGTAGCGGCACCCGTATTGCACACAATACTTTTCACACGACCTTTCTAAAGAAAAAGAATGATCGCACTGTCAAAAGCTACCTAAGTAAATGGCAGAATTCTTCGGCACTTTATAGTTAGATTGGGAAGAAAAAACGAGCCTTTAACAATGTATGACGTCATCACGTATAGACTGGGCATTCACTTATTGTTGATTGAAGCGTTATCATTCTTATCCCCCCTTTCCGTTGTCGTGATCTTGCTTATGTTTATTCCCTGGTTTTTGAATGGAATCTGACTGCGGATTTGATCACTATGAAAGAATTTTCACACACTTTAAAGGTTCTGTCTGTTTTCTACTGTTCTGTAAATACTTTATGATCATAAATGTTTATTTGAAATAATTTCCTGTTTTAATATATAGAAAAGTATTTAAATATAACTATCATTGTTTATATTTTAAATTATTTAATATTTTATTTATCGTGTTCTAATGTTTTAATTCATTCTACAGCGCGTAATTAAAAATATTCAGATTAATTGTTTATCTTATCATTAATATCTTCGTTTATCCTTTTTTTATCCCGAGATTTTGAGCTGGAAATTTGATGTATAGAGAGTTAGTTGTTGTGTCTGTTATTTGAACAGATCCATGAAAGAATGGAGGGAGAGAGGGTGCTTTAATGACATGTTCTTGATGACAACGACAGTTTAACAAAGATATTTTAATACAAACTCCGAGAACATTTTTTTAAAAATAATTTCATAAAGTTGAAACGAGTCGTGTAGTATGATAAATTAATTCATAAGATGCATGACCTTCCTAAGTTTTATTGTGAAGTTAAAAAAAAAAGAAATAAAGAAATAGCTCCAGACATTTTTATCCTCTTTAAAAATATCAAATTTATTTTACAACATAGTTTAATAATTATTTCACTTAAGATATATCGATAAAATTTACTACAGATTGAATTAGATAAAGTGAATGCCCTCTCTTCATAATATTAGTAAGTGTCCCAGTTGTGTGTACAAAATCGATTTATTTAATCTTAGAATGGAATGGGGTGGAATTTACTAAGACCTAACATATATGGGTGACTAAAAAATGCTTGGAATGCAGTTTTGAATGTAGATTTGGATCGATAAAAATGATTTTTCTTCCAAAATAATGCTATCTTTCGGAAAATTTTTCAAAAATTTGGTATCAATTGAAATTCTTTCATACCTATGCATAATATAGTTATGAATATTGAAAAAGTTTTAGTCTAATATGGGTTATTTAAAGAAATATTGTCTTAAATTCGAAACTGGAGGGAGAGAAATTTAATAAGTGATGGTGAAGGGATGGCCTCTAATTATCCTGTTATCTCTTTGAAAGTTGGATGTATTTTGCTTATCGTTTTCATTCCTATAGTTTATTTATTTTATGTAGACGAAGTACTATAATTATTTAATGTGGTTAGATATCTATTCTTTTCTAATTTATTATATGTTGTATTTAGTTAATACAACTTAATTACAGGATTAAATATTGTATTTTAATTAACAGAAGTACTAACATAGAAACGTCAAATATATAAAATTTATTTTTGATATATTTGGTATAAAATAAAGGATTGATTTAAGAATTTAAACACAGTATTTTATGTTTTTAATTAAATAATATTAATGAATCTTGGACATTACTGCAGAGTCCAAAAATTCTTGCTTAGTTCTTAGAGGTTAATAATTTTTAATTTAATTTAACAAAATTATTGGATATTTAAATTAAAAACTATACAAAATTCATAATTTAAGTTAAATATTTAATGGTAAAGTTAAAAAATATTTATTATGTTAAAAATTTTTAAATTTAATAATGCAGATAATTATGTGTAATTACTAATTTTCCAAAAAAAAGTTTTATTTTCAAGCAGTATAATTATTTAAAACGTTTTAAAAACAGAAAAACTTTTGACTTGTTTTGGTAGTTATGTATTATTCAAAGGACGAGTAAACATTATTCATTAAATTTTTCATATTATGAGATATTTTCTCGTTTTATTCAAGTAACCATTTATATGTATGTAGTGTTAAGAGAATATATTTTATATAGATTTCTAAGTATTTAATATATAAAACTAATTTGAAATGTGTTAATTTTATATGTTAATCCTAATGAAAGAATTTTATAATACAGTATATAAATTTTATGGTTAAGTAATAAGAAGATAATATAACATTTTAATTTAATAATTAATGGTTTACAAAAGGACTGATAATAAATGAAGTTTTATTTTTAAAGAATTGGCTTTTAAACTTTATAAATCAGTATTTTTAGTTACAAACATGTAAATAAATAATTTACATGTAATACCAATAAATCTAATTTATAGATTTATTGATATTACATTTTTATTTTATTTATTTTTTCAGTAGATTCCTTGTTTTAAAATAATTTCTAATATAATAAATATTAGAAATAAATCTAGAATATTTTAAATTGCTTTTNGTACGATATAAATCTATATATTATATAATATATACCAATATTACTAGTTCTAACTAAAAAGTGAATTTTTAAACTATATTTTAAATATAAAACTTCGAAACTTAGTTTTTGGAATTTCCAGTAAAATTATGTAAAACTAAATTCTTTTCTATGTATTTTTCTGGATAATTTTAAAATTTTATTGCTAAAATTTCATATTTTATTGAATTTTAATTAACTTATATTGATATATGTATAAGATATTATTAATTTCAGATATAAGAATTAATTTATAAATATTTTATCAATATAAAGTATTTTCTTATAAATTTAACGTTGTTTGTGAGGACATTTTAATAATTTACTTCACTTTTTCAAATTAATTGTAATTAATGATTAATGAGATTTAATTTACGTACTAAAAACATCATTTTTAGTTTATTTATATTTAATTAAGTAATTATTTGAATAGGATTTAATTTAAATGTATTGTCATAAATTTGTCTGGTAAGATTTTAAAAATATTTATAATATGAATAAAATAAATTTACATTTTTATAAGAGGGAGATCTTTATTTGTGAACCATCTAAGCTGATTCTCCTGCGATACTGCAAGAAGGGATTTTTAAACAGATTCTTCCAAAGATCTCCCTCATTTCGAGATTATGACTTTTTATGATTCTCTAACGGGAAAAAGAAAATGTAGGAGAATCTGTAGAATACATTAGTGAAATCTTAACTAGTAACTGTAAAGATCTTTCACCACAAATAAGTGTATAAATGACCCTAAGAAGAGATCAATGGAGATACAATCATGAACACAGACAATATTTAAACTGACTATAGTTTATATGTATGCGGTAAAACTCCAGTTATCCAAACATCCTGTTTTGTACAGTACATAATTATTTGCAAATAAAATATCAAATATGGAAATGTGCAGGGCCTAGAAATGCATATACAGTACATATACATAGATGCCTGTTTGTATTTATTTATTTATTAAGAAAGTCAAAGGATAATCCGGATAATTGGCGTTTTGCTGTATTTATTTCTGTTTTTTTCATATTCTCTATTTGCATATGGTGATGATGACAACATTTTTATAATCTCTGTTATCAGTTTTAATATTTAAAGGATTATTTAAAGTAGTAATATTTCAAAAATTACTTCATATAATTTATCTTCTAACAGCGTGGAGATGCGTTATTCGCCTGAGAATTCAGTACTAATCATTGCCTAGATATTCTATGAATAATTCATTCAGAAAAGAAAGATATATACGCATATATAATCCTTATCTTAAATAAAGTTTAAAACTTTTAAAACTACACTTTAAAAATTATTTATTGTCTCTGTTTTTAAAAAAATGTAGCGTTAAATTTGTTAGAAATCTAAATTACTGTAAGTAAAATTTATAGACCTCAAATAATTATATGATTTTAATTTATTTCTGAATTTTCTCATTTTGATCTTTGATATGTTGTTAATTCCAAAGGTTATTTTCTACAAAGATTCTTAATTTATGTAGACTGGATATTCCCTCTTTCTGTTATCTTAATTCTAGGGCAATTTTAATTGATAACTTATGCTAAGATAAAGGAAGAAAATAGAGTATTAAGGTGAAAATTTATGGCAGATCGAACGAATAAGAACTTTTTTATAAAGAAATCATTTGTGCAGAGTCACCCTTTTTTTCAAGTGACCCTCAACGATTTTTTTTCCATTTGACGATTTATTTTTAAAATTTCCCTTATTGATTGCCATGTTTCGAATTTAAATAATTATTTTTTCTTATTTAACAGAATTTCGTATAGAATTTACATATGTATATAATTTATATTTACATAATTAATAACATAATTAATATTTAAAAATCCTACTTATTCATATGATGAAAAATAATAATAATTTAAAGATTCTATACGAAATTCTGTTAATTATAATATATTCTATTATAAATAAATTTTATTTGTAGGGCCTATATATTAATATAGATTATATGTTTAAAATAAAGGTACATTTTTAATTGATTTTATTTGTATTAAACATAATTTAATTAGATTTTTACTTGTTTTTCAATAACAAAAGTATTATCATGTATTTATGAACGAACGATAACTTCAATATTTCATATTGAATTTCTTTCTCTTTCCTCAATTCATGGTTTGTTGGACAAAACGTTACTTTCCTAGCATTTTCCTTTTCATGGCTAGCTGTTTGGTCACACAGAAAGACTTTTTTCTTGATCTCATTCAAGTATTCTGCTCTAGGTCTTTCGGCTTCCTTGGTTTCTTTTGACTTCTTCGAGATGTTAAAGGTTGTGAATTTAAAAAATATTATAAATAATATTTCTTAAATTAAAAATTAAATATTGTACATTGAAGCATTTTATAATATATTAAGAGAAGTGATTATTCTAAAGACAATCTAATCATTGTAGACTTGAAGGAATTATATTCTAATCAATGAAATATATAAAATTTCTTACTCTATAAATTATAAAAAAAATACATTGCAATTCTTTGCTTCGTGCTTTTTTAAGTGTATACTGTAGAAAAATAACTACAGTAGGCGTTTCTTGTGTATTATGTAACATCAATCTAAAATTATTTCTGTTTTATAAGTACAAATCAATATTATTTAAGTAACTATTTTGTTGATCTGTAAAGTAAAAATTCCGTTAAAATATTTTTAATACAACTATAATTTCTTGTTTAATCATCAGGATTTAGATTAATTATTGTATTTTATTCTTTTATATGCCATTTTTTAAAAACGAAATCATAAATTATAATAATTTAATTTAAATTCGTGATAAAAATAAACTTTGAAGGGATTTAGAACGTCTAATAACATAAGTTAGAGGTATTATTTTCCTGTTTGTTATAATCTACATTCTACACTGAATGGATTTAACTAGTGTGACATTTTAATGTATTTTATTATGTAGTATATTAAAAGGATAAAGCTGCTACTGTTTAAAAACTTTTTTACGTCTTCTAGATATATTTTCTATTAACAAAAAACTTTTAACGTGAGAAAGATGTAAATAATTACGCTCATTTCTTCAGACTATGTTGAACAAAACGTATCCTAAGACCGTGTCATAAAAAAATTAAAATCAAACTACTGTATTAAGTTTTAACTTATACCTTATTTCATAAAGTGGCATTGAATTATTTACCCTCAATTAATGTCAGAAAAATATGCAATAAATTTTCTTCAATAGAATAAATCTATGCTGTAAGCTGAAAACTGGCCTTATTAACGATTGAAACAGTTTAAAATTTCAAAGAAAATTGCCATATTTAAAATTGCTAATTAGTGATAAACCTACTCACATATAATTTATATAACAGAAGTTGGAAAAATTAATGGAAAGTAGACTTTTATGCTTTTTCATTTCATAATCCTACATATTCATACTATGAAAAATATTTTCAACATCTTACTGGACTTGAAAACTGATTATTATAATTGTGTCCTCAATTGTTTTGAGCACTTCGCAGCATAAATTATAAAATGTAGAATTTTTTATTTATTAAAATGCATGCAAAACTTTTAGAAAATGGAAAAAGTATGTTTACATATGATAAGTACTCAAAATACATCAATTCCAATGTTACATATTCATTGAAATTGGTGTTTAATTTAGCAATGAAATGCTATATTTATGAAATATCGAATGGGTATTTATATAAAATGGCGCTGTATCAAAAATAATTCATACTGTGTAACTTGTCGTTGATTTTGATAATAAAAATTACAGTACAGAGGCCCATTTATGTTCTAGATAAGTATAAGATATGGGAATTCCTGTTAGATGATGAATTCTTTGGTTCCATCTGTATATGACAGAATTAGATAGTGAATAGCTTAATGAGACAACTAATATTTCGTATAATAAATTATTTGTGAATGTAATACTATATTTTTTGTATGTAGTTTAAATCTTTATCGTAATTATTCATTTAAAATATTTTTCTTGACAATTATTTAAAGTAGAACAATGATAGAAAGCCTTCAACTGGTTAAGGAATTTATTGATTACTCAACAATTATAAACTTTTAAAGTTTTATTAAACTTACTTATTAAATTTTTATTAAACTTATAAATTTTTTACAGAGCTTCCTGAAAGTGACCCAACAATTTATGGCTTATTACCTAGTTACGATATAGGAGATGAGATTAATGCTACATGCGTGGCTGGACCATCTAAACCCGCTGCAAAATTAACATGGTTAATTGATGATGAGAAGGTAAATTGTAGACTTTTAGATAATAAATGGCTAGATTTAAATATTTTACTGTTTTAATAAAATAGTCTTTATATAAAATTTATTTGTATTATAATTGATTATCGTTACTCGATTATATTCGGGTATATTGTATATTTTCGGGTATGACCAGACAATATCACAATATATTGTGATATTGTCTGGTCAGATGTAAAAACTTACTTGATAAATTAATATATATCTTTTAAAATAGTATTATTAGCTTAATGTTTTAATGAACGGTTCAAAAATAATTGTTACATAATATTTAGAATAAATTTAGTCTCCTTACAAAACACAGACCAACTGAAGAAATGCTCTTAGGATGTGTGTGTATGCATATAACGTCAGACGTATTAATATGTATTTGTATTTGCATTCGGCTTAATTTTATCGGCCTATAGATCACATTCTGTGACTTAAAGTAACTGCTTAATAAAGCAAATTCTTTGAGTATATTTTGGTTTGATGGGATGAAGCAATGCAATACATGGGCGATCTTCCAAGAGGAGACACCCCCCCCTGGGAGGACTTACAATGGGAAACTGGTCCCTATTGAGTGTTAGATGTGTGAAGAAAACCCGGAAAACTCTACGTGGACAATCCGTTAGTGAGGCACGAACTAATGTTCAGTGCTTTTATTGACTCAGCCAGCTACTAGTAGACCCTTTGCTTATATTTAGAGACTATACTTTTTTTTTATAAAACAAATTTGATAACTCAAATTTGCATTGTAAAAGTTTGTTTTATCAAGTTTGAACATCATTACGTACTAAAAACTTTAACCTTGTAAATAAGGTTTTAGTAAGTAGTGATGTGTATGATAAGCATAATTATATAGATCAAAATTTTAGTGTTGCTTTTCGGTTTTATGAATTTATTTTACTTTTAAGTATATTTTTCTTGACAAATGTACAGGATAATTGTCAGCTTGTCTTATAAATAAGTTTATAAAATTTTAGCACAACAGTTTCTATCAGTCTGTCAATTTCTACGAATTCGATGCCCTGTTTTTTTTTTCTTTTTATTAAAGTTGTAAAAATATATGAAATAAACTCTGCACGGTGAAGAATTAAAGTTTCATTTATAAGTATGTAAAGCAGAATATATCCCGTAGAAATATGGAATGGTATGTATAAAATTGTCAAAGAAGGATAAACGGATGACATATCCATTATTATAAACTTACAAGCGGAATAAATTTCCTGAGTAATGGTATTAAGTTAACACGAAAAATAAATGATTACTTTGGGTATTTTATTAAATATGATTATAAAAACGTCATGTTACTTGATGACTAATAAACGATAATAAATTATTCGTTTTGCGGATACAGTGAATAATACTGAAGTAGTATTAATGATTATTATCGAAGTTTAACAGGCTGGTAATTATCAAAGCATTATTTTACCATAAAAAATGAAATGGGATTGAAAATTTTGTGATAGGTAAATTTGTACCGAAAGGTGAAAATTGTTATTAATTTTTTAAATGAAATTTAACATGAAAACACAGTCGTTAAGATGTTATATATCAAGATACGTTGTTTTAATTTAAATTACGGTTCAGGTAAAGTAGAATGCCGTTAATTAGGATAGGTTCTATTAATTTTGGTGCTTACCAAAGTTAATAGAACCTATCGTAAATCGTAATTAACGGCATTCTACTTTGTTTTTAATTATAAGAGTTAATCTGAAATATCGTTACGAACGAATGGAAGAAAAAATTTATTTCGCAAATCCTAGAAATTTTTATTGCTTATTTTAATATCATTTCTGATTCTTTAATCTTAAAATTTTGAAAGTTATTTAAAATTTTAAAAATTAAATGTGAAAATCAGGCTGGAGCTATTTAAATACTGTAATCAATTGTTTCATGTGTAACTTTTTTATATTATAAATTTATGGCACTTCAGATTATTGAAAAACATTTGGAAGATTTCTTCAACTCTTCCAAAGTTTTATCTGTTTTCAAAATTAAAATTAAATTTTCAATATTTATAATAATACACAAAACTTATTACATGTGTATAGGCCTATATTAATTATTCAAATATTCATCAATAAGAAATTATGGAGGAAGTTATATTTTATTGATAAATTTCGAAAAGTTTCCAAATGATTTTTAACATAGGATAAAGTTTATTTTTATTTATTTTTTATTAATTTGATGTATCTGAAAATTGATTTTCAAGTAAACATGTAGGAGCGTGAACGTATCGATTTATAACGCCGTAAATTATGTATTGTGTTAACTTACTGCATGGAATAATTTCAAATGTTCATTTTTATCTGCTCCAGTTTTATTGTCGAACGTAATTGTTCTTCAAGATCGTTTTCGAAGCGATATATGAACGAAAATTTGCTTGATTTGAATTCTGTGTACCGTGTGAACACAGCGGTTGCATCACAATTCACGATTTTTACTTGGAGACAACTTCAGGTCGATTGCTGGATATGCATATGACACGACACGCCAAACATTTGCAATTCACAGCATTCATTTTATATTGTTTTCAGGTGCACCTGGCAAGGGCTGCAACGAATTGTCTTATGTTTTTTTGAGACAAACATATATTAATTCACATTGCATGGTGTGAAGAATAATTATAATATTTTTAAACATTAAGATTAGTTTATTAACATATTTAATTTGTTTCTCCCCTCTGTTTTTTCTTTTTTATCATTTATTCTCTAGGCATCAGCAGCTGTTCAATATTCATTCAATTTCCTCGAATTATTTAAGATAATTTATGGAAATGATTTTAATTGAATTCTCCGATTCCATTGAATAAAAAAGCTAGTGGAATCGAAAAACGCAATTAAAATCATGTCCATGTAAATTATGTAAATTAGATCAAATCTTTTGTTGATCCCAGCGATAATATTCAAGATATGCTTACGTTTTATCCACTCAGACATAAGCTGTCCATTATTTCTGATAGAGCATAATAAATGCAACCCAAATTTCTTTCTAAGTATGAAAATATAAATAATTTTTAAAAAATGTACTAAATATTTTACTGGTAGCAAAATAATCTATTCATAAAACTCAAATAATAACTAAATTCTAAACTAATTCATTAGCACTTTAACGAGGGAGACGCTATATAGAAGTTTGACTGTGGCAGAAATGTTTTCGTATATCAAAGTTTCGAAAAATCTTACCGATCTCTATTAACAAAATCTTGCACTAATTTCCAAATAGATAGGTTAAAATAATTGAGTATTTAATGGGAAGATATGTAACAATATTTAGTAATTTGTACAGTAGCGAATTGACAGATCTGGAAAGTCCTAGTCCTCTCGAATATCCTTTTAATAACCATATTGGAATTTAATATACAATTATTTCTGTTTCTAACTTCTTAAACAAATCCTTAATTTGTTTATAAGATAATCAAAAATTTGTGTATTATTTCACCTTGGAAAATAAAAGTTTTCCCGAACTTACACTGAAGTTATTCGAATAATACAAATGTTTGAGGATAAAGCATCAGAAGAATTTCAATATGCAAACGGCTTCATAAAGGTTTTATATGTCCTACCACTATAGCTTGTTTTCAAAGTGACAGATCTCGTCTCAACCTGTGTACTGGATGAATAAATGTATGTTCTCCGGATGTGTGGCCTAATGGCTGCAGACAGGAGTGATTTATATTGAAGAGCTTTGCAGAGAAAATGATAGGAACTAAACGTTTATAGAAAGCGCCCAGTTCAAACGTGGATATATTTGCAAATTTGTTTTCTATTCGTTTACGAACAAAAAATCCGCATTATGTTAGGCTTGCCATTTAAAGACTTCAAGATCCTTATTACTTAAAGGCCATGATATAAACATATTTTTAAGTGCCGTTAACAGTTTAGCCTGATATTTAAGGCACGATAAAGAGAACCGCAGAATAATTGGAGAATAGAAAACTTCTGTATCACAATCTCAGCGAAAATGGCCGGGGTTAAGGATCCTATGAGTGAATTTTTTCTTTGAAGGTGGTTGAGTTTTTACACAACGTGTAAAGAATAGTTGGCGGAGTTGACTGAAAACATTGTAGCTACTGAATTTAATTTTTTTCTCAAATGGATATACTGTATTGCTTTATATCCTTTCATTCTGCCTTGCAAGAATGTAAAGTAAAATGTTCCCTAGTGTAGTACAATATATAAATAGGAACAAGGCAGTTTTCAAGCTTTATGCTTCTTCAGTTAGTTGCTGCATTTTTACTTAACTAAAGTAATAAAGGCCAAAATATCATTTCTTCTTTTGTATTTGTATTATATTTTTCTTATTGTATTATAACAGACTCTTCAAATTTATAATAAAATAGATTTTTCAAGTGCAATAAGATCTAAACACGGAGAGAAAAAATTGCTTTTCCATTTATTTTTTGAAGGGCGAGACTCTTCTATAAAATTATTTTGAAGTGTAACTAAAAAGTTTAACTATTAAGTTAAATTTTAGCGAGTTAATTAATTATTTAACTAATAACATTTTATTTATGTCTGCACTTAAATTGAATTAGAATCCTATTGATCTAGAAGCAATACATTCCATGTTTGTAATATTGATGCTTTACAGCTGGAATATATATCTTTACTGCAAGATTTTAAATTCTACTCGACTGGCCATTCAAATAAAATATCGTTTGTGCTTTTTCCGATAATATATTTGAGTCATTCGAGAAGAATTTAAACGTTGTCCAGGATGTGGATTCCAGCAGTAAAATAGCTCTAAACAACAAATATTGATACAGTATTATGTGAAATAAATTCCGAGAAAATAAAAGTTTACAATTAATTTTGAAAATACCACCTTTTAAATGCGATATTGAGTTTATTTTTAAACTCTAAAGCCTTTTTTTTAATAGCAAATTAGAACTTTAATAAAGATTTTCAAGTCTTTACAGAAAAGACAGCTTTGGAAATTCTCCTTCAAAGAAAGATGCTTCAACCATAACTATGGTGATTAGTGTCAACTCGTGAATT